GAAACCAGCCCTGCCAGGGCAGGCGCTGCTGTCGCTGTTCACGGAGGGCTCCGTTTTAACCCTCTCCCTCAGAAAAGCGGGGAGAGGGTGCCCTTTTCAAAATCAAAGCGGCCTAAAAGGGGCGAAAAAGCGGGAGTTGGAACTTAATTTTTCCTCAAAGTTACGTAACTCCCAGTTGATGCTGAATGCAAATCAGACCGAGCCGGGAGCGTGTCACTAACCACAAGTGTGCATTGAGGTCACTGTGTTCCAGTTTTCTGTCCAAAGTGAATATAAACGATTCAGCAGCACAATGTCAGAAAATTGAATAGCTTTTACTAAAGTGTATTTTGTTATGTTAGCGGTAAGGCATTTATCAATGTAGCTTTTTAACTGATTATCATTTGAGCAGGTGTTCCTGCTTCCACGTGCATATGCCTTAGAAATAAAACCAAAGCTATATCTTTCAGAAAAATAAATCGCTTAAATTGTCCTTAGTGAACTGTCCCACAGGAACGAATCTGAGGAAATCTGTGCTCTTTTGCTGATAATTAGACTAGATGATCACAGGAGTTCCCTATAACCCATAAAGTTTAACAACTAGTTTAAAGGCATCACTTTATTGGGCTTTCTGGTGAACGGTGCTTTTGTGCGTTGTATGTACTTTTTGCTGAGGTCGTTGGGAGGCTGGAATACTGTAGGAATTCAGGACTGCGCCCAAAGCATGTGTCTTGTCATATTCTAAAGCTTTTGTTCATTTTTTGAAATAAAGGGTTTTATTCTTTTTAAGGCAGAGGTGAAATTCATCAATTTCAAAATGTCATCAGTCAAACGCTTGGTTTATGCAGTCATCCATTTCTTGAGAGAGCAGAGTCAGATGGATACTTTTACTCCTGATGAACAAGAAAGCTTGGAAGGTAAGCGATAAAGGTGATAATACGTACGCGTGTATGCACTAGACATATAGACATTAAATTGTTTGGTGTATATTATGATAGAAAGTAACTGGAATGACCTAGTTGAAACTGCCACCAAATATTGTCAGTGAATACGATCAAGACGTTAATATTTCTGAGATTATAAAATCTGAAACGTGACTTCTTGGGGACTGGTAATCACAACATTGGAATTAGGCAGAAGAACAAAAAAAATTCTTAATTTCACAATCAGCTTTTCATATCATCTGGGTGAAAGACCTGTTCACTCTTTCAAGCAGTCTTTGGTTGTATGACCTAACAGGAGGAGGAATTGAAAGTACGAGGAGGAAGTGTAAGACCAACAGCGCAATAAACAATATCCAGGCAGATGACCATTGAGCTATGTGAAATTTGGGGAATGGGGAGTGGGGCCTTCCACAAGTACAGAAGGAAGTCCTGCTTCTCAGAGGCATAAACTTTAGAAGATAAACCTGAAATGATCTTTCTTCCAGTGTCTGTTGGTTTTACAGTGCATTTGTTCACTAATGTAGGCAAGAAAGAAGCATGTGTAGGATGCTGTTCAAAGGATATTCCACAGATTTGGCTTTACATCACAAGCTGGAATATCTATACCTTTTGAAATGTGATAACCAATTATGAATTTAACCTATATCAGTATTTGATGAGGAATTTCTGCTCAGCTGATGAAAGACAGCACTGTTTCTAGAAATCAAATGAGAGTATATTACTTTTGTTTTTATAAACTGATAGGCATTGATGGGTTGTGACTTTGGGTGATTATTTGTCTCAGAGGAGCATTAGCCAGTGTCTGTACAAGGGAATCAACAATTTTAAGAATCTATTTTCTAAACAAAAAGACATTATAATACTTCAGCTGTGGTTAAATGCTGATGTAAAATTTAGCATTTTAATACAGATATGAAATCCTAATTTTAGAGCTTCATCCTGCCAAAAGTATGGTACCATATGCTGTGTGCTAGAGGATCAGAGGCAGGCATTCTAAATAATTGCCTCATTTTAGTTGCGCAAAAAATCTTTACTGCATGTAGAACAGCTAAAGCTGAAAACGCAGCCTTTGGAGTGGTCAGGGTCAGGTGGAGACATGCAGGATGAAAGAATTTGACTGACATTGTTTATTGTTACCTTATGTACCTTCTTGATTTCTGTAAAAGGGTAAAAATATGATAACATCTCTTTGCCAGGAGGTAATTTTTAAATTGTTGCCATTCCCCAAGAAACAACAAAGAGAGCTAGAACATTGCAAACTAAAATTGAGACTTTATCAAAATAAAAGTCTAGTGTGCATTTGAACTTTATTTATATCGATAACTTGCATTCTGCATGTTTGAAGTATAAAATGGTGTCAATGATAGGATAAATTCTGTCTAGGAATTTTGTACTGATGAGTAAAAATGCATTAATTTGAGAAAGCAAAGTAACCAGA